GCACAGTTAAAGAGTTTGCAATATCCATTTACACTTTATGCGTATAGGGACGTTTAGAACATTCTAGAGATTTACATAAGGGAAGTATAAATTTTTCAAATTATGATACAATTTTAAACAAAGTCTACCGCTAAGCTTCAAATAAAGTTCATATGTAGGCAACAACTCTGATAGTATACATGTTTCCCTTCGATAGGTTATTTTACGCAAAGTTCTATTTGCGGAATAGATATAATAGTTCCCATATCAGTTTCCATTATTGTGTAGTCCTCATTAGATGATATTGTAAAGCATATAACACTAGATACAGTGCAGACGGAGTTTCCTCTAACGACCTGTCAGTATGACAAACTCACTGTACATATACTCACTGTAGGTCTTCACTGGGTACGTCTTCTCCGTTTGCATTTGTTAATTCCTTTTTAAACGCGCTTATCCAAAACTACAAAAATATGATATGAAGTATAGTACACTTTTTGGCAAATGCTTAAATAAAATAATTGTGAAGTTACTGTATTTATATTTTTTAACAAACTTTGTAAAATGTACTGTTTTCTTTTAAACAACATTCTAAAACAACTTTGAAAAATATACTGTATTTAACAATAATGTAAAACAGCTTTGTAAAACGTTTATACCTTCAAATCATTTGCACTTGCAGCAGAAAAATACTGAGACCAGAATACAGAAGGGTGATGATGAACCAGTTTAAATACCCATAATGCTTTGTTATCCGCGCATTCTGTTGCCACGTCGACACTGAAATTAGAAGAACAAATGTTATAACTTAAAGATATCATTCTATACATTTTATTACACTCGTAGATACCTTGGAAAATTGATAAACAAGAATATGTATCCAAAGATATATATAGAACACAATGTTCTTCAATTTGGGTGAACCACAAAATCTGGGTCAAAACCATAGTTTGACATGTATTCTTTAAAGGTTCAGCTTGATGTTACAATCACTGAAAGGTAAACCACATAAACCCATAAAATTGATGTGATACGGGACTGACAAATGGACCAACGGACGAACTATTAGACTGGAAAACATAATGCGCAGAATCAATTAAGCTGCTTCTCAATTAGTCATGGATTTTGACGAAATTTTGACCTACTGAGAAGAGAAAATCTGAAATTTCTGGATGACCGAGTGGTTGAACACACACTACCAATAAAAGCGCGAAGGTAAGGTTTTTTTGTGTTGAAACGAGTCGTTATTTTGATAAACACAAATATTGATTTAATAAAAATGAATTTGAACTCTTAAACAAATTGAAAGTTTTGAAAAGTTTTAACATGTTTAATCTGAATTGTGGGAAAATATAAATATTAGCTAAATATTGCTATCTAATTCAAAAATTTAAATCTAATGTTATAAAGGCATAGACCCGTAAAAGTCAGCATATCGTTCTACCTAATTATAGAAATCATTTATGTGCAATGTATATGTTTTCTTTAATATTTAGTTAAATAATTCAAATTAATGTGTAGCTCTTATTTGTTGAATACAATTTGTTTTTATGCCTTATATGCTTTTAAAAATGTTTTTCTTGTTTGCTAATTTATCAACGTTGAGTGGTTTGGTTGTTGTTTTTGCTTTGCTTAATATCTGATTTGTGTATGACAAAGACTTTTTAAAATAGCTGATTTTATTCTTGATTATGTCTATTTTTCATTTTGATGCGAAATATATAAAGTATATATTTATTTCTTGTGCAAAACACCCCATCAGAATGTTTGAAATATTACATTACATACATACTAAGTTAAAAGAAACAATAACTGAAGGAACACTTTATTCACTGAAACACATATAGTGAACGGTATGAAAATATATTTATATACATATGATTAATGAAAACAATCCATTTTTCTTTAGTTTGACGATTTCGAAATCAAGTAAAACAAAAAATCACTTAAATGAACTGGAGCATTTGATGTTTTATTGAATTTATCAAATCAGAGTTATTGATAAAATTGACACAGGTATTTGATTGACATATGATAAAGGGGATAATCATGTTACGTTTCAATTTGATATAGTTATCTCTCATATAAACGATATTTTTATACATATAATTAGAATAGAAAATAAGTGGGTGTATTCCTTTTCATTACAATTAAGAATAAAACAGTTTATTTTATTGATGAATTGCTATTTCTTGTCAACATAATGATAGCAACCTTTTTTTCTTTCTTTTTCTTTTTTCTAATTTTTCTATTTTATTTCTTCTTTCTATATTGGAACAATATAACTTGTTGTACAGCTGTTGATGTTTAAGAAAATCATGCAGACATGCAGTGGATATCAGACATTTTAGGATAACCTTGAAATAAACAATCACCAATAAACAACTGTATGGGATGTTCAAGTCTTGACGCATGTACCAAATCTCAAATAATCATTCTATTATAAATTTAAATATCCGTCAATGTTAAAATTCAAAAGAGAAAGAAGAAAAAAATATGTTATATATACTATTTACAAGATACACATTTTCTTCAGAAAAAGATGAAATATCTATGGTGCATTGCATTGAATAGCTTATCATGAAATAGGAATATGGCAACGGACAGAAATAAGGAAACTGCCATGGAATTAAAGTTGATTAAAATGTCCATTTCATAAAATTATCTTATTTTTGCATCTCCCTAACAGTTGTAACTAGATGTTCAAATATCCTAAATCCTTGCAAAAATACAAATCATAGTAAAAAAAACCTGTGGGATTCGCATCACCCTAAAAAGAAGCAAAAGCTGGGTGCGCTTATGCATGCATCACCAGCCATTCAAATCAAACTCACTCAAAAATTCATAATCTGGAATATGAAACAATCTGTCTGTAAATTTACAGAGCACAAAACTGTTCTAGTACCTAAGATCTCAGACTGCAAGTGACTTGAGACACCAACTTAACGTATCAGTCAACCAATCTGTAATGATTTAACTTTTGTAGAGTCATTCATCCTCAATATTCTACTAGAGAAAATTTTATGTCAGAAACTAAACTCTGTAAAGGAGGTCCGTATCATGTGAACTTGCAGGAGGATAACGTATCAATTGAGATATGCAAATGCCATACGATGTAGAAGAGGGTATATTACTACGTAGATTCTAGTTTTGAGACGTCTATCTGTGTCAGCATCAAAGAAAAGATATGAATCCGACCTTTTTTTGTTTTGTTTTATTCCTTAATTTCCGGTTCACTGTGACATATGAGATTCAATGCCTAACTGAAATATTAGTTACCAAATGACAGGAATTTTAATAAATATAAGAACAGAATCAAGTCAAGAAGGGTAAAACAATTAATACCCATTCGTATACCGACTGTTCGTTAAAATATATATCCACTTATCTCAAAATTATGTTGTCAATCAAAAAGTCATTTTTTCCATGTTATTCGCGGGGTGTTTGTTGTTGGTACCATGTGGTTCTTTATGAAATCAAGGAGGAATATGTATCTTCGAATCTCATTGTTGTAGACAAAGCACTGTTTAGTGAGCAAGGTTAGATAATATTTCAATTGAACATACAGAAAAGTACTGTAGAGCGTTATATCACTGAAAAACTGAAATGTTTGTAAATTGAAGATTTGGAATTCATCTTTTGACTTTTTAAGATAAAATTGAGAATGGAAACGGGGAATATGTCAAAGAGACAACAACCCGACCAAAGCGCAGAAAACAGCCGAAGGCCACCAATTCTCGATAAACTCGATCTTTCAATTGAGCATGAATGCGGAATAGTAGTGTAGGGCATAGAAATAACTTCAGATTAAAATGATTGGAATAAAATATTTGGAGTTCATTTCTAGACTTTTTAAGAATCTACAGCTGACTAACACTTATGGTTTAATATACCTTATTACAATATTTTCAAGATAATGACTGCTAGACAACCCGGTTATATTTCGTTCTTTTTTAGGATTTTTGTGCATTTAGATATCCAGAATAACGACGGGTGATGTTTACCCTCCATTTTGATGTTAAGGATGTACACCTCTGAGGAGCCAAAAATTTCTAAAATTAAACTTTTTTCTTAACCTGATTTTTGGGTTTATAAGACTGTGAGAAAGTAATTTTTGAAGAAAAAATCATATGGTGGTGCACTTCTTTTATTGCTACAGCCATTTGAAGGTACCCGTTTTTAATGATTTTCCTATTTTTCATTAGTTTTAACCCACTTTTAGGCTATTATCATGAAAAAAAATCACAGTTTTCAATTAAACTTGTTTTCATACTCTCACTACAGATGACGTGGACCAATCGTTATACACTTCACTTAAAAAAAACTATAGGTTGGTGTTGATATAAGACAGTTTTATAAAAATTTGTTGCTTTTTCGTGTCAAATTGACCGTGTTGTCAATTTTGTAAATTGATTATTTCTCTTTTTTAAAGAACAAAAAGCATGTTAGTTCAACTTCTTTGTTATAAATGATTGAAAAAATACATATCTAAGAATTTTGAAACCAACAAAAATCATTTCTTCGTACCCCTCACCGATTTTCTCAATATTTTGGCTGATGACACTGACCGGATTGGTTATAAAATTTGAAAATTTTATTACTCCGAAACTACTTATTGTAAGTACAGATTTTTTTTCACAGAGTTAAGTTTAATTATGATGTTTTTTAAATTCATTCATATTTTCCACTTGTATCACATGTTTTGGAAATATTTCCCGAACGACATTTCACTTCTGAGTGCAAGACCGAAGCATTAGTGTTGACCCATTAAGGTATCTTAGACTGTTGGCTATGTTTAGAACTTGTGTGTTGGATTTTATGCACTTAAATATTTCTAATTTCAATATGATGATGGCTTCATAAGTGTGTTCGTGTGTGTGTGTTTGTGTGTGTGTGTTCGAAATATGTAAAAATTAACCAGAAATCATAATGTTCACCTTCTTTCTATACATGCTTTTCGCTTGAATCAGTTAGTTGTCATTGATGTACACGCATGATGTATATTTTAGCTGTATACTTACCTTTTGAAACCAAATAGTGAAACACCTTCAATTTCAGTTCTGCTGAGTTCATTTTCGTAATAGTATACACAACCCTTATGAAGAGCCATATATATATGAATCCCTAAAATGAAGTAGTTATTATAAATTAGTCACTTAAGATTTGTTTTTTGTATGAATTAAATGAAACTGGTACAACAAACAACCAACATACAAGAGACAATTAAAATCGCCAAACCGCCAACGCACGTATCCGAATGGACATCTAAAAAGAAGAGGATATAAAAATAAAAACTCCAAAACTACCAAAAACTACGGAAAATTTCAATACAGCCATAAAATTGAGAATGGAAACGGGGAATGTTTCAAAGAGACAATTACCCGACCAAAGAGAAAAAAACATAAAACTCTAAACCGATAATTAATTTGTTTTTAAATATAATAACATTGACCAAAGTGTTTAGAGGTTCTCTCGTTCTTTTACTAAGTACTTCTGTGTTAACACGATTTATCATTGATATGGTCATAAATATACATTGACGGTTACAAAACATTGAATTTTCGAAATAACTAAGGATGTCCTACTCTAGGAATATATCACCTTAACTGTATTTAGCAAAACCTTTCGAAATATGGGGTCCATAATTCTTTTTAACTTCGTACTTTATTTGGCCTTTTTTATACGAGCGTCACTGATGAGTCGTTTGTATACATAGAGCGCGTCTGAAGTACAAACTTGTAATCCTGGTATCTATGATGAGTTCATAAATGACAGATACGTCTCAAATAATGCTGTGATAATGTAGTGTTTGGTCAAAAACGGGTTGAACATGTTTAACCGTGCCACATTCTCCATGTTTTAATTTTTCCTTGGAGTTCGGTATTATTGTTATTTTACTTTTTACCAGAAACCTTAACTCCAACGGTTGTCATTTGTTGATCTCTTCCATTGACGCTAGCATCAATTATTCTGGTTTATATATTTTTTTAATTTTTCATATTTTGTCTTTCACGGTACTTTCTAATTCATTATATGTTATAATCGACTTATGAGTTTGAATGTCCCTTTGATATCTTTTGTCTCTCTTTTGTGTACTTCGAAATCATTTTATGAAGTATAACCGGTCTTAAATCTTCCAGTAAAACAGAACTACAACACAATGCATGACTTTAAATAAATGGACTTATTTCTTGTGGTTGTTTTTAATTTGGCTTTATTTTTTTATAAAGTCTTGGATAATTAGTATATTTCTTGCTATTTCACGGGATAAATAGTATTTGCTCTAATCATACCTTCTCCTTTATAGTATCTATATATTGTATTTGTTGACAATTTCCTGTCGAAATCGGACAAACAAAAATTCTCCAATATCAACATATTTGGTTTTCGGCAGGATAAACTACATTAGATAATTTAGAAAAATATAACATATGTTAAATTAGAAAGTTCCGGGAATAACAAAATATGAAAGAAATAAAAAATATATATATTAATCAGACTAGTGTACGATAGCGTCAATAAAAGAGACAACTAATGACAACCATTTGAATTAAGGTTTCTGGTAAGGGACCATCACAAGGAGAATGTGGCACGGTTAAACATGTTCGTTCGCACTTTATCCCTTCTAACTTGGAACGGTGATGTACAGGAGAACCTATCCTATCGAGATTAAGTACAAAACCCAACATAATGTCAAAAACAAACAAAAAAACACATTTACTTTAGATTAATTAATTGTTTTTATGGTATATTCAAAAATCAAAATGGATTTTTTTTTCTGTTTAGATTAGTGATTGTCCTTTGTTCAGATCGATTGAAATTTAACAGAATTAGAGATCATCGTATAGAACAATATATTATCATTTTGCATAAACTGATTAATTTGTTTTGTTCAGAAAGAGTCGCATGTACACCTGAATTTTTAAAGCAGACTGAGAATGGCAGATAGAAAAGTGAAATTGTACAATTATTTTTAAAATCTCTAAAGATAGAAATCTAAAAACCTTAATACTTTGTTGAGAAATTGTAACAGCCAATCAAATAAATTTCGGGTATATTGACAATAATAATATAACGATTGCAGCATTTGTATGAGGTCAATACGAGGATTTATCGACCAAAAGAAGTATATATACCTCAGACTTCGTTCTCATTCAATATACTTCTTTAAGTCGATAAATCCTCCGGTCGACCTCATACAAAGACTAAAATAATTAATGTATAATAGTGTGAAAAATTGTGTTTGAAATGGAGATAATTCGAATTCTAATTTTTCAATTTATGTATCCTATCCAGCATCAATATCATGCCTACTTCTCTTTAACAATAATATGCATATAACTATACTCAAATGAAATCCTTACATTATAATATTATGCATTTAAACTTATGAATCTGGTCAATTTATTCATAACATAACATAAATATCTACATTGAAACAAATTTGTAAAGAAATATCATCCCAAATGAAAATATGATCGACCAAATAGTCACATACGGCACCAAGTAATAAGAAAACAGTAGTCTAACGATGTTCAAATTTCAAAAATCGATAAAGGAGACAAATCAACGCAACAAATAAATACTGTCGGAATCGCATGAACTACAAAATGAGCAAAACTGAGTGCATCGACAGGATAAGTGTCTCCCGCTATGCGTGTATCACCTGCTATCTGTTTCCACGACTGCTGAAACATGTCGCTTGAGGGTTGAAATAAGGCATATCGTATTGGTCTACATATTCTTGATGGTGGTCGTAAAACGTATGTGGTGTCGATTTCAGTCGTTCTTCCTCAAAACTGTAGTGGAGCAGTTTTTGTGTAAGGAGCTCATCTGCTAATGAAGCCCATGTAAGGCGAACATGCACGAGCTTAACGTTAATTGAGATATGTAAACGTCATACGATGTGGCAAAGGTTATGATAATGCTGAAAAATTGAACATTGACGATTGGAAAGTTTAAAACGATCACGTGTGTCATAGATTCAAGTTTGAAGTTGATCGTCCATCTGTGTCAATATCGAGAAAAAAATCTAGATTGGAAGCGGACCTCTAGTTTCTATCAAACTACGTTTAACTCATCATTTTCTTCGGAAAAAGCCTGTACCAAGTCAGGAATATGACAGTTTTTTATCACTCGTTCTGATCACATTTGATTTTGTCAGTTTACCTGGATTCTCCTTTTTGAATTTACCTTGGAGTTAGTTTTTTGTTTTTGTTTTTTTTTTTTTTTTTGTTGGGAAGAATAAGAATGACCCGGTCAATTTGTAATTGTTACGTTTCGTCTCTTTGGCTGACACAATTTTGAAATTACAAGAACACAATAATCGCTTACATTTTTTGTTTTTCTTCCTTCTAACCCAGCCACTTGTGGTGTCATCTGAAGCAATAAGCTGTTGACATGCTGCAATATGCATTCTATATTAAGAACGTACATGTAGGTGTACATCAATAAAAGAACCAACTTACGACAACATATCCAGAAAAGACATGTTTATGTCGAACTTCAGTCTTCAATAATAGACATGTGATTTAACCACATTTCAAGTTCCTATCGTGTCAAGCCTACACATTTAAATACCTGTTATTAGGGCAAAAAAATGTAAGATATATCTTAAGATCAGCGCTGAAGCGATCCCCGATGAAATATGTGGTGGCCTTTTACTATGGTTTCATGGCGTTTTAAACCTATATTTAAGACTTTTTTGTACTATTTGTTTATTTGTTTGTATTGTTTTTGTGTGTTTTCTCGAAGTTTTTACACAGCGAAATTATAAATTTACTTCTGGAAGATATAACAACTGGAGTTTTGTTAACATTCTGACCGAGGCTATTTACTTGTCAATTACATGATTTATAAGATATTTCATTTTTATTTCGTAAACGTTAAAAAAAACTCAAAACTCTGAGTAAACCACTACCTCACTTGTTTGTTTCTATTTACTGTTTACTGTGTGTGTCCTTTTTGCTTGATATGGTCCTAATCTTCGGCTTTGAATTCTTTTAAACGATTTTTTTTTTTCATAATATATAAATGATTTACACACACTATATGTATAACTTTTAAGGATATAAGTTATGTTCAGAAAAAGGTAATGAAATAAAATTCTGCCGTTAAGAGAATCGAATTTACGTAAAAGACAATATGCACTTACGAATTTTCTTGAAAGGTTGGCGTATTCTTCTGTAAGCAGACTGTTGATCATACTCTCTGTTCATTTTGTTACATTTTCTTGAACATTTTGATAACTGTGTACAATAATGTATATGTGTAATAAGATAAAAAAAAAAAAAAACGCAACATATTTTTTTTTATATTAGTCATCAATGTAATCCCATTACAGTTCTTGTAAAATTGAGAATGGAAATGGGGAATGTGTCAAACAGACAACAACCCGACCAAAGATCAGAAGACAGCCGAAGGCCACCAATGGTTCTTCAACACAACGAGAAAATCCTTGTAGGTATATATTGCATTTTCATTATATTTATTTTTTCAAATTTACTGTTTCACCAATTTCAGCAAATACTCGTATATATTTCCAATCAGACAGTTCAATCGACCATTTGATTAAATTGGAAAACATTTTTATACGATTCTGTTGAAGAGTAGAGAGTAGAAAGGTCATCAATCCAATTGAAAGAACCATAAAAACAAGTTATTTATCTAACACAGCCGAAATGAAACGATATTTGACGGGGTTGTTGTGTTGTTTAGGTAGCCAAAATATAGTAGGGAACCTATCATGTTCAGAGGTGGTCTTAAACTGAAATATGTTTTTAAGTTGTAGATATAGGAAGATGTGGTATGAGTGCCAATGAGACAACTCTCCATCCAAGTTACAATTTATAAAAGTAAACCATTATAGGTCAAGGTACGGCCTTCAACACGGAGCATTGTAGCTGTTTACCATTTGATACTACGTGGCTCGTACTGTCTTAAAAGTAGATGAATAATTAATCTTATTCTGAAGAATTTTCTCATTGTATTTAGTCTACCATCAATATTTAGAGTAGATTGCATATGAATTTCTTGTTCAATGTCCGATTAAAATAATTATATAACTCCAACCCAGTAACACATTTAAAGAAATATTTTAAACTTCGATAAGCTAATGCATGTACCTACTTTGATATTGGCAAGGCTTCGAAAGAGGGTAACGAGGTGTCGTAAAGAAAGAAAAAACGTGCAAGGTATACGAATAAATTCAAAGTAAAATTTCATACTAGAATTTTTGGGGTGCACGTTTTTGAAAAATTAAAATGCTAACTATTTGAAAAATAGTTCCAGTGAATTATAAGTCTACGAGGATACGCAAGAAAAAAATTTAGGCAAACATTGCTTACCACGGCCTTAACCAGTATCGGTCATTAAATTTGTATATATAAGTGCCTATATACAGCAACACATAGCTTACAAATATATTTGCATCTCTTTTACAAATCTATTTGAGTGCAGATTAATCAGTACAAAAATTAATGCAATTAAAAACCAATTGTTCAGAGAACAACTGAAGGTCTTTCCACCCCAAATGCTAATGTTTGATAGGTAAATATTCACTTTTGGTTAAAAATGTCAATTCTAGTGTCAGATAATTGAATTATATACTCTGATTCCAAAAAATTATGATTTCTCTATACTGTTGCTAAAAAAAAGGTAGAAAAGTAGGTATTTCCGGTCTTTTACTTCTGGTTTCATTAGAACCTTACTTCACAAAAATTTCCCAAAAAAATAAAGCTCTAGTACTTTTCACATGAAAATAATGCAAAATGGCTACTTCCGGTTGACCATGGTCTAGGTTATATGTCAGCAACCCAATGTAAAAGACCCTATGACTTTATGACATGTACTAATAAACAGTTAGAGCAACGGTCAAAATCTAGAATGTCAAATTAACCTTTGACCTTGACTTTAATTTCAATGCCATAATGCAAAGACCTCAAATCAAAAGACCTCAGGTCTTTATCATATATGGCTAATGAGTTATATCCCCATACACGTAATTTTAAATATAAGAGGGACGAAAACTCCTTTAAAATGTCAACGTACCCTTTGAACAAAAATATATGTGCTACGACATGTTGCAACTAACAATTTAGTAAAATTCTTTTGTAGATATCTTATACGGGTTTTAAAAAGAAGCTATAATAAGCCAAGATCAAACTTTAAAACATACTCCTAACCGTTGACCTTGACCTAACTTTCTTTTTGAAGAACCAATGACCTCTAATCAAATGACCCTCAATCTCTATCACTTATGATTTACCAGTTACAAATGCATATCACTTATATCAAATGCATAAGGGGATTTACATCTCATATGGAGTCTCTAGATCCCTTCGTCAAAATTATTCTCCATATCAAGAAGTTGTAACGAGGAATTTAGTAAAATAAATTTGTCTGTTTCTTTTATGGTTGCGAAGGAGTAGTCGATAAAATAACAGTGTTGGAGGAGAAAAAGTGTTAAGTTAAATAGAGTCAGTTTCAAAAGTATATAAACTGTTTGATATCATATACCAGATATCTAAGCGACATCTTGGGAAACAACAAAACTGCGCAAGAAAAATCATTAGGCGGGGAAAAAAATAATCAGAACAAAATCAAAAGGTCTTTCCACGGAAAAGTGAAAATACCAAATTACAAAAATAAAATTATAGATTGCCTAACGTTGTAATTTTAACACATTTGTAGGAAGTAAACACAAAGAATGTTAACGAAGCAACCTACACCTCCCGGTCGTTCTAAACAACTACGGAGAAGGAATTGTCTATTTTGTAAAACTGCCAATACTAGCAGCTCTTTCATCAGCTACTTTACAATATGTACAAGGCAAAGCTATCCCATCTACGCAATATTCGAACTGTAATATGGAAAACCCAATGTATGTATTAACATGTAACATCTGTGGCTTTCAATAAGCGGGAGAAACAATGGAAAAAATAACATTATGCTAAAGAACCATCGATCATTGTACATAATTTAGAAGTGAACACTGGGTGGTGTATCGCGGCGAGAAAGAGAAGAGAAAACTTGTGGATTCACCAGCTCCATACTTTAGAATTTGATGGTTTAAATGAAAAAGAAAACGAGTACAGACACGATAAAGGTTAAATTCATCATAATTGTTCAATAATTCAGGGAAATAAAACATTTTGAAAAAAATCGGAAAAACTAAATGGTTACAAAAGTATTTCCGATATCACTTTGTGGTCTGACCCAAATATCAATACATCTGTTCGATGAAATTTCCTTATTTGTTTAAAAGAGTAGGCTGATGTACTGTAGTGCACAAGGTACGATATATTTCAAGGGTAAATATTTTATATAACAATATAACAATAAGACATTGTTGTAATACACTGACATTCAAATAAGTATATAACTCACCATCGTGTACCAAATAACATATGCCAAAAAAACAAAAGAAGAGCTTTCCTGGATTTACCTCATCAGCAACATTCGGAACAAATATTTGAAAGCCAAAGATGTATAAGTACATAAGCACGTGAAGGGCTGTATGACCAAAAGGTACATTAATATAATAACCAAATCCTTCTAAGGCCAACTTTGCCTGACGTTTTTGGAACCTTAAAGTTTTTCTTAATCTTAATTCTTAATTTCTTAATGAACGGACAATTAATAAAAAAAATTAAAAATATTTACAGTTTACCATCCTTAATATCTACAAAAAGATGTCAGTCAACGAATATCAAGTAAACAAACACAAATTTGATAACACACCATTATTTGTGATTAAGAATTAATAAATCAAACACAAGTTCATCAAATTACACTATCACGATACAATAGTATCTAGCTATTGATAAGTATTTATACCTGATATGTGCGTTTTCAAAATACGTAGGCAAACGCAAAAAACGTTTTTGTTGGCGTCTTTAACAAATTTACTATCAACTGCAGCACCTTTTTTATTAGCGTCTTTGTTAGAGTTATTTGTATGTTTGCTTGAATTTGTCAGTTAGTTATGATGTATGTTTATCACATTTTTGCCGCTGGATCCAAATTATTGTCACATTCACCTTTATGTCTGTTTGGTTTGCTAAGTCAGTTTTGTCAATAAAACGGAACTATAAACAACTGTTATACAAATGGGAGGTTTAGCTATCTGTAAAACTAGATGAAACGCACCATTTTCCTTTGGGAAATGCCTGTACCAAGTCAGGAATATGTTGTCTTTCACTCGTTATGTTGGTTGATATCGTTTGATTTTGTCAGTTTTTTTACTTCCCCTTTTTGTATTTGAGTTCATTTTTGTCGAGCCTTCGACTTTAGTCGAAAAAGCGAGACATAGCGATCCTACATTCCGTCGGCGTCGGCGTCGTCGTCGTCGTCGTCGTTGTCGTCGGCGGCGTCCACAAATATTCACTCTGTGGTTAAAGTTTTTAAAATTTTCATAACTTTCTTAAACTATCCTGGATTTCTACCAAACTTGGACAGAAGCTTGTTTATGATCATAAGATAGTATCCAGAAGTAAATTTGTTAAAAAAAAAATTCCTTTTTTCAGTATTTTACTTATAAATGGACTTAGTTTTTCTGCCAGGAAACAATACATTCACTCTGTGGTTATAGTTTTTAAAATTTTAATAACTTTCTTAAACTGTCCTGGATTTGTACCAAACTTGGACAGAAGCTTGTTTATAATCAAAAGCTAGTATCTAGAAGGAAATTTTGTTAAAATTTGTACCTGTTTATCCATATTTTACTTATAAATGGACTTTGTTTTCCTTCCAGTTAACATTAAATACAGTCTGCAGTTAAAGTTTTTAAAACATTTATTAGATTCATAAAATATCCTGGATTTATACCAAATTTTGACAGAAGCTTCTTACAATCAAAAGATAGTATCTAAAGGAATATTTTTATAGATGTTTTTCCTCATTTTTGTTGAGCCTGCGATTGACAGCAAAAGTAGGCGAGACACTGGGTTCCGCGGAACCCTTACGATTTTTTTTTATATATATACTCTTTTACGCAACACCTACAGACAATAAACACAAAATAAAGCAAAACTATACAATATTTTAGTTAAAAACGAGATGAATTTAACGCTTTCTTACTATGACCCAGTAAAAGTTTCTGTGAATATTGTGCTAAAACGAATTATATATTTTTGGATATATTTATAGATTATGGATGGTTTTTTACACGAGTGGGTGTAATATGAAAAATTATCACACACAAAAAAATCAAAGCAAAAGTACACCAAATAGCGTTATTTTTTATGTATCTACATAAACAGAAAATAATGATGATAAATTTTGATAATTTTTTCTCAATGACTTATTGCAATTTTAATCATGTAAAACATTTGCAAATATCAATATTTATTCTCACCTTTACATGATGTATGAAAAACACATAACAGCAAGTGTTATGTTCAAACAAATGTTCAGCAACTTATGTGTCTTTTGTCTATGAATCTGATATATAATAAAAACCCACTTAACGGGAAATATTTACGAATGACGTCCTTAAATTAATTTAGAAACTTATTATGTATTATTGTTTCCAGTTGAAAAATATTTACCGATGCTTAAATCTGGATCAATTTTAACACATATCTAACATGGTCATGTTCCTTACAAAATTGTTGAAAAAGAAATTGATATTGCGGAAGATTATCTGAGTAAATTGTTTATTCATATTAATTGCTATTTCATAAAGGAGATGCATGAATTTTCTCTAGTCGTACTTAAAACACTACTGCGTTCTTAAATGTCGAACATAACCTTTCGTGAAGTCTGTCTGAAACCACAAGAAAAAATACCTTTATAATGAGTTAAGAATTGATAATTTCTCTCACTGAAATGAATGAAGAAAAAAAAAGAATTTCCATTAAAAAAAGTTTGGCGTGGAAGGAGTACATTCATTCTGTCTGATTTATCACTATTTGATGAAATTGGAAGCCATAAAACTCAACTAAAGGTGAGACTGCCAAACAAAAATACAAGTCACTCCTATTGCTATGACCATATTCAAACAGTTTTGCTCGCATTCGGTATACAGTGAACCAGACCGTAAATTTTACATGTGTCAACCATTCGAGAAATTAATAAGAGGTATAACACTGATGGTTATAAACAATTTAGTTACTCTGACGGCATAGACATTTGTTCCCACTTGAAGGACAACAAGGCGTGTGGACATAATCGTATTGCATACGAACCCATTATATACGGCGGAAAATTACTCTTAAAACGTATCTTGTTAAACCTGATGTTACAATGTGGTTGTATATCTGGCGAGTTGAGAAAATGTATTGTTTTCCTTCGATTTAAAGATGACAATAAACTATGAACTCATACGAACTCATACCGTATGATATCTCTGCTGCCAAGTATTTAAAATATTTTTTGAAAAATATCGTAAAGAGGAACTTACGAAAGTCACAAAGTTGGTTACCAAAAACAACTGAGTCGCCTAAATGCATCTTTAATTTACAAGAGATTGTATTTCATCATGTAGAAAAGAAAGGCTCGTCGAAATCTTCCTATAAGACAGTACTTAAGCGTTTGATATAGTCTCGCAAGATGGTAATAGAATGTTCATTGAATTCTATAATTATTGCAATTCTGCAAAATTGTAGTTACTACTTGATGATATGTATTCTGATCTCACAAGTGCATACAAGTTGTATGGTGGAACATTATCAAAATGGTTCAAGATAAACCGTGGTGTTATGCAAGACAGTGTTCTTTCAGCAAAAAACTGTGTCTTATTCGATTTGAGTCTTGTCAACAAGGTGCATTTCTGCACGATCATAATGCAACTTCGCCTGTGCAAGCTGGCCATACTTCATTAATTGCAACTAATCGCTACTCTGCAGTTATGGTCAGAATCAATTAAGAATACAGCATAGTTTGGAGGTATGCGTTCTCAGCAGGTAAAAACCATCTTTAACAGTTTGATAAACATGCAATTGGTATTGATGTGCTACTGTGAACCAATGCTGGCAGTAAAGTCAGCACAACATTGTGGCATTACTCTCTATTATAGTGTTATGTCAATGGATCATACAATAGAAGGTTGCAGGACCTTGCATTCAACTCTTATATCTATTATCCGCTATCAAGCATTTACCCCCTGTCCCTCAAAAAGAAAATAATAAAAAATAACCAAACTAACCAAACAAACAAACAGACAAACAGACAAACAAACAAAAAAGAAAGAAAGCAAAAGAAAAAAGAAATATGACAAAAAAGAAACAAAACGTATAAAAACAGACAATATCTATTTTCGCAAACACATTTACATTAAAGGTTATGACATGAAATACAAACAATTAATACAACTGCCAATGATATAATCAGTTGGGTATCAAAACAATATCCATCATTGTTTGTGTATTCTTATATAATCAGTAATATTCATACACAAAGACGTCACCATACTTATATTTAAAGACATATTTGAATAAAAAACAAAATCGTCAATTATACATTTTTCAGTTATTTGTATAAAGATTGCTAACCGCACTCAACAGTGTGTACATATTCCTCATTGACAAGTACTACAATTGAAATATATACAGTGTATGTCTAAAAATAAGTTTAAATTTCCATCGAATCTTAAATTGAATATTGACCTTACTAGTTTAAGGTCAAATAAAAATAGAAGTTTAAAATCTTGTTCTTGTGTAATTCCCAATTGTGTTTAATTTGATGTTTACGAAGTACGAGTATATTAATACAAAATGGAGGACGATGTGTATGATTTGTGTATAGTTGGAGCTGGAATGATAGGGTCTGCAGTAGCTAAATATGCATCAGAATGGGGTCGTGTTTGTTTAGTTGGACCAGAAGAACCAGAGGTAACTGAACTACTATAAAAATAATGTCTGTTGTTTAAATTTGAATCAATAAATATACTGGACAAAAAGGCACAATGCCGAACTCATTTCAATGATTGGTTGATAGCTGATTGCTTTACGCCGTGAACTCATTTCAAATCTCACGAGTCATACAAATACCCGGTTCATGATTGAGTACGCCAAACGCCCGATTAAATGGATAAATATAAGGGTAATATTGTTGGAAGTAAAAACATTAAGTTGAGACAAGCAATGCCAGCAGAGATATCATCTCTTTATTTAAACAGTTATTTATTTTATAAGTGATTAAGATTATATTACAATGTTGACTGCTGTATCCTAATTTTTGACGTTTTTACCTATTATGTCTGTTTGTTTTGCTCTAACTGTTTTGTCAATATAATGGAATTCAATACTACTGCCATACAAGTGTGAGGTTTAGCTAGCTATAAATCCAGGTTTAATCCCCAATTTTTTACATAAGGAAATGCCTGTATCAAGTCTAGATTATGATTTGATTTGATTTTTGGTGTTTAAACGCCACTTTTAAGCACCGCTTTTTGGCTATTTCGTTGCGGCCAGTTTTTATTGGTGGAGGAAGCCAGAGTGCCCGGAGAAAACCACCGACCTTCAATAGGAAAACTGACAATCTTAGTCAATTAAGATTGGAGTCGAGTGCACCCGCACGAGCGGGGTTCGAACTCACAACCTCAGTGTTGACTGGCTAGTGATTACAGTAGTAACTACTTAGAACACTCGGCCACCGAGGCCCCGTCTAGAATATGACAATTGTATTCCATTCTTTAGATGTGTTAGAGCTTTTGATTTTGCCATTTGATAAAGGACTTTCGGTTTTGAATTTCCCTTGCAGTTAGGTATTTTGTTATTTAACTTTTTAAATGCGATATTTAACTCGTGTTTGAAAAATGAATAAAGTCAAGGGAAATGTCAAGTATAATGTTAGTATGCCGATGTTCTTTCAGTTAATAAATCTTAAGTCAAAGAAGGATCAGGGAAGCATGGAAGTATGGCCCGATAATAAATGCAGCAATAAAGTAATGACCAAATAAGATCGACGGAACAATGAATGAAAAAGTTGAAACGAGGCATAGGATAGCGTAACAATCAACAACTTCATGAGGTTTCAATTGAACATATTACTAAAATTTTGAAATTAGAACATTTCAATATAACATTCAATTTAATTGATAAACATGATATATACCATAACGAGATAAGCCTAGTTTAAGATGAAAACACTCACGGTTATTAGCTAACAAATAACATATGAAATTGTTCGTTATAGGAAAAAGATGTTAATTGTACGAGAGACATATTTGGATGTCATTATGATGAAGGAAGAATTGCAAGATGTTTAGCTCATGACCCTATCTGGACACAGTTGGCTCGTTTCTCTATGGCAAGGTACAGACAAATAGAAAGTGATTCAGGTAATGACAATTCGGAACATCATCAGCCTTTTCCCGTTTATGTATATAATTATATGTGAATATATCCCCCAGTAACCATTCCCATTCAATTGCAGTCACATTGCATTTTTGCGCAGGGAAAAAAGGACGTTGATAATTCAACGCAATATTTTGAAAGATGTGGGTTGTACGTCAATGACGCCACAACATATATAGCATTGAGGAGTGCTCATATCATCTTTTTAATTTGCAAAATGACACGACAACACACATAGCATTCTAGGAGTGTTCATATTATCTTTAATTTGCAAAATGACGTGACAACAGACACATATAGCATTAGAGGAGTATTCAAACCATCATTTCAATCTGCAAAATGATGCGACAACATACATAGCATTAGAGGAGTGTTCATACCATCTTTTTCATTTGCAAAATTGTCTATCAACTAGCCAAAGATTGCCATAGACTTTAAATCCAAAATGACAATCCCGCATATATGTATAAAAAAGACAGCTACAGACGAGGTTCTTGATTGAAATGTAAAATAGTTTATAGTAGAAAATTTGACACATTGAATGCTTGAAATAAAATACTTGTCAGTGACAAACTTAAATGTTCGCTATCACATATACCAAACACAGAAGAGCTGGTTTTGAGACTGCGATAAAAGAAATAACAAGGGTCAGTCGTATAATTTAAGTCAATTTAGGAGAAGAGTTGATGTTATGACCAATAACATATTCAGAGCAGACGACTGTTCTGATATATAAAGATCTAAGACTTCGAAAACATGTCACTAGTGAGTTGTGACAAAAACATTTAAAAGGCTTACCTATAACAACATCTGAGCTATAACAGAAGCGTCTATAGGATTAACATCTCCTGTTAATGATCCATCTTCCTTAACACGATTCATATTTCACCTACAGGTTTAGGAATCTAATCCGTAAATATACCAAAAACGTATATGTTGTTAAATTGGTAATGGTTAAAAAGATATTTTGCTTCCCTTTACAATCTTCTCCATTCTGACATTTGAGATCTGTATGAGAGTTAGTATATGTTACTCGTTAAATCCAAAAGGAGGGAGACCATGAGCTTCTACAGGGTGATCATGAGCGTCGACAGGGTGACCATGAGCTTCGACAGGGAGACCATGAGCTTCGACAGGGTGACCATGAGCTTCGACAGGGAGACCATGAGCTTCGACAGGGTGACCATGAGCTTCGACAGGGTGACCATGAGCTTCGACAGGGAGCCCATGAGCTTCGACAGGGTGACCATGAGCTTCGACAGGGTAGGCATATCCTGCTATGCATGCATCACCCGCCATGCAAATTCACCTTCAAAATGTCATAATCAGGAATAAGACTCAATCGGTAAAATTACATGTCGAACGACTTTACTGGTTATCTAAAGATATAAAACCCCAGAAACATGCCGCTAACATCGTATCATCGGTCAACCAATTTGTGATGGCGACCGTTAAATGAACGTTGGGTCGATTTCAGATGCTCCTCTTCTTACCTCAGTTGGAGCAGTTTATGTGTAAGGAGCACACCCTGGGCCTGTTCATGTATAGAAAGAACTTAACGAGTGTAACGTATTTACTGAGCTATGTAAACGCCATACGATAGAGAAGAGGGTTTGTTAATGCTGAGATATTAGAGGTTGACAATTAGAAGTTTGAAATAATCACATTTGTCATATATTCTAGATTGAAATCCTCCAAATACCATATCTTAAACAAGAAATTTATATTTACGTTTTTCATTTTTGTAAACAAAAAAAGCTCTGTTTCATGAGATGATGTAGTCGATCTTTAAATTGAGCATGGCAAATAGTAGCGTAAAGCATAAAAAAAACCGCTTTTATATAACTGCGAAATTATAAAGATTATGATTAAAGATGTATATACACATAGACATAGACTTTTTTAAAAGGATTTAAACACTTAACCCTTCAGTAACAAGAAAAAAGATCCAAACCATAAAATGCATCAGCAGTTTTTGCAAGTTCTAACGTTTTTAAAGTATGTCACTTTGCATGCTCCGTTAGATTTGAGAGCATGTTAGTATCATATTACTTGTGGCTTTTACTTTTTTAATCAGGTATATGTTTTTATAATGAAGTTGGCTCATTGGTAGCTGGAGGAAAGGATTCAAAATATATGATTGACAATGAAACGGTTTCAAAGAAACAACAGCTAGAAAGCGAGATACTTTCATACGAGACACTCAAAAAGAAGTTTCCACTTTTAAATTTCTCTGATATAGATCATGGAATATATGAGGTAAAAGCCGGACATATCAGTGCAAGAAATTTGGTCAGTGCTCAAATAAAGCTAGCTAAATCCAAGGGTTGTGCATGCATCCATGAAATTGTTAACCAGATTGAGAAAAAAGAAAATAACAAAATGTGTGTAATAACAGAATCAGGAAAACAAGTCTTATCCAGAAAGGTACTACTAGCAACAGGCGCATTTACAGCTTTCAGAAATTTACTTCCTGTAGATCAAGAATTGGACGTAGGGTTATGTCCACTAACAACTGCTATGATTGAGGTTACAGCTGACGTTTTCACAAATATGAGGTTTGATTCTGATAATATATATAAATTTGTTTATATTTCTTTTAATTTATGGAAACAAAACACCAAATCTTTATTGTATTTCATTTCCAATCGCCTGTTAGAGGCTCAGTTTGCTAGTAATCATCGTTTTGGTACCTTAAGGATGTATGGTTTTTCTGTTTTTAACCGTATACGATGCCACACAATCGATTTATAAGCTCATCCCTCTATGGTTTTGAAGTGATCGATCGTTTTGATTTGTTTAACCTTTTGATTTTGCCATTTGTTAAGGGATTTTCAGTTTTGAATTTTCCTGACACTTCGGTATTTTTGTTATTTTACTTTTTATACCAAAAAAGGCGACTCGGACGCATTAAATGTACCAGGTGTTTTAATTAAAAAATTTCTGAATAGACCATTTGTTTTGAATTTTTGTAAACATCTATATCTTATCAGTATATTTTGATTAATTTTAGAAAATATCCTACCGTGATATATCATGGGAAAGGAACAGAAAATTGGAAGATGGAATATCCACGCTCAAAAGACGGTGATTATAGTTGGTATATGCTTCCACCAATTAGATATCCTGATGGTAATTTAACAATCTGATTGAAATACAGATTCTGTGTCCACACTTCGAATAAAATGATCTAAAAACGCTCCGTTCTACTTTCCGTTTTAAAGACCTTTTGGAATCCTCTGGTTTTGTCGTAATGATTCACACCTTCAAACCTTTTGAAGCAGAAAATTCATTGGCTGTTGTAGTAATAACCAGAACTGAAAGTAGAACAGAGTGTTGACAGATCTGTATCTTAATTTGATTGGTGATTTCGTAGAAGTATTACACTATTTTATCTGTTTTCGAATGTAGCATTCACAAAGTGTTAGTATTCAGGTTATTTGCCCTTCGCTTTTTCTGTAATATACATTTTGTGTGTGGATTTTTCACTGTCATTCCATCATCGAGATGGATAAGACAATCCATCTGATGGTTTTGTCACTTGCAAAAAAACTTCGAATTATAGTTGTTGATAAAAAAAAGTATCCATAACGTTCAACCGTCATAACGTGTGTCAAAAAAAATCATTCCATCATCAAGATGGATACAAAAATCCATCAGATGGTTTTGTCACTTGCAACAAATTTTCAAATTATAGCAGTTGACAAAACAGATTTTCCTGAAGTTCCATCGCCATTACTTGTGTTATGTATGAGTTCAGTACACGCATCACATGTTTCGGGAATATCCTTCCTAAGAAAAAAGTGGGAAAGCCTAAAAACCACAAGTGCCTAAACAGAACAGCCTTTACAGACAAAATATATCATTTGAATCATACCAATACAAAAGCACTTGCTACTTGGCTGATGGCACCAACAAAAAAGTCAATCAGAAGCTGTACCGAATGTGTGCTTTCAAAAGATGTATATGATTACCGAGCGTACAACAGTACAATATATAGTTTAAATGTAGGGTTTGTAGGTTTATAGGGTATGCGATATATGTTACTGTAGTTTTATAAGCCGAATATTTCCCTAGTAAGTTTGACTCAGCATCACCACTTTTATATTTATGATATCATACAAGAAATGGTATAGATCAAGGGTGGACGTACAAACACTGTTCTTCTTAAAAAAATGTTTTTATCACAACAGAAATTAAATTTGAATCATTTTTAGTTTATTACATATCCGAGTCCCATTCCTTTGACCACTTCATCAATTGATAAATTCAAAATAAAATTTAATGCATTTAATTCACATTATAGAGAAGTACTACATAAAGCTAGGACATCTACAGCATGCTACCACTAAACGTTTTACCAAAAGCTGTGAAGTAAAGGAATGGTATTGTAGTAGTGGAGACAAAACACTCGTCAATGAAACAGTTGATCTTTTCAAAACTGTCGTTCAAGGTTAGTTTTCTATTGTATACATTAAAAATGTATGGTCAATTTCATGTGGTCAAATAATGCTCATGTTATATTTCCTTATGGCCTTATCTCTTCTGAAGCTCAATATCGTCGAAAACTTTCAATATAAACACATTTCCCATTTCTTAATTTTATCAGGCTTAATTTCGATTTTTTTTATATTTTTTTTATAATTTTATATATATACTCTTACTTGAATACAGTGTTTATTCAAACATTGTCCTTTACAAGTTCATTCATCATTCCAAAATTCACTAGGACTTTTTGTGTTGCTATGCCTGCGTTAAAATGTATTTCAAGCTGTTTGGAGTTTGGTTTATATGCTAATGTCGAATAATTCTGAATTGAATGTTAATCTGTGTATACATATTCTATATATATCATAGACATAACCATAACCATAAAGTAAATGAAGATTTTTGTCGAGCCTGCGACTTTTGTCGCAAAAGCGAGACATAGCGATCCTAATTTTCCGTCGGCGTCGGCGGCGTCCACAAATATTCACTCTGTGGTTAAAGTTTTTGAAATTTTAATAACTTTCTTAAACTTTCCTGGATATCTACCAAACTTAGACAGAAGCTTGTTTATCTAATCTTGTATCAATCCTAATCATATCTTATTTTTGGGAAATATTTTTACAAATTCAAATGTGACGTCACTTTGTGTGCTTTTTTAGAATTTCAAATGTGACGTCACTTTGTGCGTTGAGGCTTTGGCTAACTCGGCTGTGTATTTTTATGTGTTGGATTAAGTTGTTTTATGTAATGTATCCTTTTTTATTCTGTAGTTAGTCCCCACTTCGGTTTTATCATGTATATCTATTATATAGTCATTTTATAAAATTTACTGTTTGCAAAATCATATAAATTATTCTAAATAATAAGGATGTTCTTGTCCCAGGCAGAAAACCCTGGCCGTGTTGGGCGCAACTTTTTGGAAGTTTTGGTCCTCGGTGCTCTTCAGCTTTGTACTTGTTTTGGCTTTCAAACTTTTTTCATCTGAGCGTCACTGGTTAGTCTTGTGTGGACGAGACGCACGTCTGGCGTATTGGATTTTAAACCTGGTGCCTTTTGTTAGCTATTATTCGTGTGTTTCTCTATCGATTAATGAGTTTCGAACAGCGGTAAACTACTGTTGCCTTTATTTATGATCATAAGATTTTATCCAAAGTCAATTTTGTAAAAAAATTCCTGTTTATCCGTATTTTACTTATAAATGGACTTAGTTTTTCTGCCAGTTAACATTACATTCACTCTGTGGTTAAAGTTTTTAAAATTTTAATAACTTTCTTAAAATATCCTGGATTTCTACCAAACTTGGACAGAAGCTTATTTATGATCATAAGATAGTATCCAGAAGTAAATTTTGTAAAAAAAAAAAAAAAAAAAAACCTGGATTTCTACCAAACTTGCACATAAGCTTATTTATGATCATAAGATAGTATCCAGAAGTAAATTTTGTAAAAAAAAACAAAAAACACCTGGATTTCTACCAAACTTGCACAGAAGCTTGTTTATGATCATAAGATAGTATCCAGAAGTAAATTTTGTAAAAACAAAAACAAAAAAAAACCACCTGGATTTCTACCAAACTTGCACAGAAGCTTGTTTATGATCATAAGATAGTATCCAGAAGTAATTTTTGTAAAAAAAAAAACTGTTTATCCGTATTTTATTTATAAATGGGCTTAAGTTTTTCTGCCAGTTAACATTGCATTCACTCGCTGATTAAAAGTTTTAAAAATTTTAATAACTTTCTTAAACTATCCTTGATTTGTACCAGACTTGGACAGAAGCTTGTTAATGATCAAAAGCTAGTATCTGGAAGTAAATTTTGTAATTTTTCCGTATATTACTTATAAATGGACTGAGTTTTTCTTCCAGTTAACATTACACACAGTCTGCAGTTAAAAGTCTTTAAAACATTTATTAGATTCATAAACCATCCTGGATTTTTACCAAACTTGGACAGAAGCTTCTTACAATCAAAAGATAGTATCTAGAGGAAAATTTTTAATAATTTGTTCCTCTTTTTTGTTGAGCCTGCGACTAACAGCAAAAGTAGGCGAGACACTTGGTTCCGCGGAACCCTTACGAATTTTATATTACTTATACTGACAAATACATCAGAAATTGTCCATCTAATCTTTCTTTTCGTTTAAGAGACTTTTTGATGTGGATCTTATTTATTTATACGCTTGATTTTCATCCATTACATAGTACTAATTTGTTTAGGGGATATTATTAATTCGCTTTTTAAAGGGGCACTAGCGGCGAGATATATAAAAAATCTAATGTATGATTTTTTTTTGTTCAATCATTAATGAAAGTGAAATAGTGAAATAATTATTCGCTTTTAGCCGCCAGTATGGTTCAATTTTGTCAAAATAAGCTAAGAAACATTGATGATGAATTAATTCGACCTCATTGAATCCGTATTCATGTGAACTTCAATTTAACCCCTTAGCTAGAGATGGATAACACGTGAATTGTATGTGTAAAGCTATTTAAAGGAAAAGAATGTCAACATTGAAAGTGAAACAAAGGTAAATCATTTGATTGACTGATCCGATCCATAAAAAAACATTCTTATACAGGTAAACACGATGATAAACATATTTTTAATCTATAATATGAAATTAAACAGAACCAGAAAAATCCAATAGCACGAGTTCGCTTAATCTATTTATATCTTTATTTATGTTTACGTCGCTTATATGGTCATCGGATGACTTTGGAGGTCAACTCGATGGTTAATTATATGGCGTCTAGACTAAAATACACACGAAACGAAGCTACGTGTTATCATGCCCATGTCCTGTTAATTGTTTATTTTAGACTTTTAATAGTTTTGGATAAGTGTTTTACATTGTTATAAATCAAATATGAGAATTTGAGTCAAATCGGTGAACATGAATTTGACAGCTAGTGACCCTTTAATACTTAGAAAAAAAGATTAAATTATTCCCTTTTCAGCAGTGAAATTATGTAAAAATTAACTTCACGCATTCCACAAAAAAAGACCAATACTCAATAGTTCTCGAGTACTGTAATAACTTGAATATTCCTTAGTGTTTATTTTGCAGATGTTTTCCCGATCTCCTACCATGGTGACAGCTGTGTTATAACGACAACTCCAACTAAACGACCATACATAGATACTATACATCCTCAGCTAGGTGTCGCTGTCGGTGGGAATGCTTATGCAGCAAAATCCAGTGACGAGATAGGAAGGATTGCTGCTGTAATGATGATGAAAAACGAATGGGACTCGTCTTTAAACAAAGAAGATTTTAATGTTAAACTAAAGAATGAACCATCAGGCTAATTAACAAACTGAGATAACCAGTTGAACCAAGAGTTTGCCAAATAAACAAATTATCCAGATGTGCAGGGAGTGATACTACGTATTCTTACACAAGCAGAAATTTCTGGCCTGCTTTACTTGTAACTGAATTTTATATTGAAGTCAGTAAAGGCTATACGATAGGCATCATATACACTTAATAGGGATCCCTTAAAACGAGGTCACTGAACCTTATCCACCACACAACTATTCCATGCATCAAGTATAAGACTTACTGCTGACAGTATCTGATAACAAACAATTAACGTTGATAAAGGATTCCTGAAATGAGGTCAAGGTCAGATGAACTTTGTACAACTAACAATCATTCCGTGTTCCAAATGTAGTTAAGATATTGCTTATAGTATCGGAGAAATGAAGCTAACCAGGAATATTTATTGTTGCTTAGTGGACCATAGAGGTCTAACTCTGATAAACACTGCCGGATTGACGTGTACACATAACAGGGATTCAATACTCCAATTAAAGTTGATTTATTGTGTACACTATATCTTTCAGACGGACATGTATACCTTCAAACCATTACATACACTAAATATAGTCATAAGAAATGAGAGAAAGAAAATGATTCGAATTAAAATTACCTCGCCACTACTGGTAAGCTGAATAAAGCCAGGCAAATTTTAAAGCATAAAGACGACAAAACTTTTAAAGTGTGACACAACTATCATTTATTCAACGCTGAAATGTAGCACAAACAGTTTAATGCATGTTATAGACCCAGCATTACATATGCTAGATTTTTATTAAATAATATTTACATTACCAATAGATAAAAGAGTTGTTCCATAAGTAAAAATAGTTTATTCTGGTTACCCTTGATATCCTTTTTCAAATTCATAGACGGGATATCTATGAATTGTGTTTTTCCAGAAAAAAGAATAACAGACTGGATATGTGTCTTGATGATTAAATATTACACAAGTAATGAGAAGTAGGATACAATTACATTATGTAATCAAGATTTGAAATCAGATAAAGGTTTATGCTTATTAGCCTGTTTTACTGTGTATGACAGAATATTATGTTGAAAGTCTTTGGGAAAACAGTTTTACTATGCCTACAACACAAACCTAACATTATCAATGATTCCCACCTAACAATCATTCCATACACCAATAGTTGACATGTTGTTTATTATCTGAGAAACTGACACAACCAAAAAACCTTAACATTGACTATGACATACAGGTAAGTAAGCCTACCAGAAAGACATGTACATCTTTCAATCATTACATATACCATATATAGTTGACCTATTGCCTAAGTATCTGAGAAACGGACCTAACTGCAAAAAACCTTAAAGTTTACCAATAAAACATGAAAGTGAGGTCAAGATCAGATAACCTTGTCATACAGACATATATACCTTATAATTATTTCATACCTCATAAATAGTTGACCTTCTGCTTATAGTATCAGAAAAACCGGCTTAACCAAAAATACTAAATGTTGACCATTAACTATGAAAATTTGGTCAACGTCAGATAAACCCTGTGAGATTGAAATGTACATCTTACAAAAATTCCATACACCATAGTCGAACTATTGCTTATAGATTATGAAAAACTGACTTAACTCACAAACACAAAAGGTTGACCATGAATCATGAAAATTTATTCAAAGTCAGATGAACCTTGCTAATGAATAACATTTGATCCCTCAATGAGTAATGAATGACATGTAATCTATGGATGATTACTGAATGACATGTGATCTATTGATGATAAATGAATGACATGTGATATGTGGATGAGTAATGAATGATATGTGATATATGGATGAGTAATGAATGACATGTGATCTTTGGATGATTAATGAATGACATGTGATCTATGGATGAGTAATGAATGACATGTAATCTACGGATGATTTATGAATGACATGAGATCTATTGATTATTCTACTACGACTCTTCTTTGCTTTGTGAACAAAACCATATTCTAATTGATATTTGCAAATCTGGACCACAAACAGGATCAAGTAAAAAAAATAAATGAATTTTTGAAGGGTTCAGAAATAGAAAGGCCAAAATCAATTTTAGTACCACTTTTCGCTACATAAAGGTCTACAGCTCAACAACGATAAAAGCTAAAATCGTGATAATGATTTAGTCACAGGAAACAACATATCTAAATTTGAAAAGAATTCGTCAAAGCGTTTTCAAGTTATTAATGACACTGATTGGCAACCACCCGCCCGCCTGTCATCACCAAATTAATAACTGATATATTCCTATGGAAATCCAGTTAATAAAAAAATGTGTTGCATGTGTGTGATGTAACAATTAAACTTAATGTGTTAGTTGAACTTTGAATGATGCCACAGATCAAAATGGAAATTTCTGTTGATGTTGCTCTAGGATATATAATAAAATCATTTTAAATGTCTACATATACTTGTTCACTTTTTAATCACAAAACATTGCTTTTCTTTAACAGTTTTGCATCATCAATTCAAAATGACTCCCGTTCAAATTGGTCTTGTAAGTCTGGTTCTCATGAAAAAAAGTTTTGAATTAACCTATTGGAAACAATTTTTCCCTATCATGCATTATACTCATTTTAACATGGGAAGGCATTGTATTTGTGATATTATTTCATACCTTGCTAATGCTCAGTATAAAGATAACTATATATATAATACCTCCATAATTCAAAATCAGCATACAGCATGACATGAAAGCATTATGTGATCTGTAAACAAGATTTGAATGACATGAGACCAATGAACGAGTAATGCATGACATATATGATTTATGGATTAGCAATGAATGTCATGTGATCCATGAATGAGTAATTAATGACATGTGATCTATGAATGAGTAATAAATGACATGTGTTCTATTAATGAGTAAAAAATGACAATGACATGTGATCAAAATGGATAAGTAATGAATGTCATTTGATCTATGGTTGAATAATCAATAAGTTATCAACGAAACATGATCAATTGATGAGCAATGAATGACATATGATCTGTTAATGATAAATTAATGATGTGATCTCTGGATGAGTTATTAATGACATGTGATCTATTGATGAGTAATGAATGACATGTGATTTATGATTGAGTAATGAATGACATGTGATCTCTGGATGAGTTATTAATGACATGTGATCTATTGATGAGTAGTGAATGACATGTGATCTATTGATGAATAATGAATGACATACATGTAATTTATTGATGAGTTATTAATGTCATGTGATCTATGGATGAGGAAGGAATGACATATGGTCTATGGATGAGTAATGAATGACAGGTGATCTATTGATGAGTAATGAATGACATGCGATCTATCGATGAGTAATGAATGATATGTGTTCTCTGGATGAGTAATGAATAAAATATGATCTCTCAATGAGTAAAGAATGACATGTGATCATTTGATGAGTAATGAATGACATGTGATATATGGATGAGAGTAATGAATGACATATGATTTCTGGATGAGAGTAATGAATGACATGTGATCTCTGTATGAGTTATTAATGACAGCTGATCTATGGATGAGTAATGAATGACATGTGAAATATGGATGAGTAATGGATAACATGTGATCTATGGATAAGTAATTAGTGACATGTGATCTATGGATGAGAAATGAATGACACAATCTTTGGGTGCGTAATGAGTGACATGTGGTCTATGGATGAGTTATCAATGACATTTGATCTATGGATGAATAATGAATGACATACATGTAATTCATTGATGAGTTATTAATGTCATGTGATCTATGGATGAGGAAGGAATGATATATGATCTATGGATGAGTAATCAATAACTTGTGATCTATTCATGACAAGTAAATGACATGTGATCCATGGATGAATAGTCAATAACATGTGATCTCTGGATGAGTTATCAATGATATGTGAGAGGGATTGGGGAGGGGTGGATTTTTCTTTCCCTCCCATATTCATTTTGAGTGGTGAGGGTTAAGTCCTTACTTACCCTCCCAATATCCATTGTTACTTGTAATCTATTCTGTAGTTTTAGAACAAGGATGACTATGTACAGCTATTACAGATATACATGCTGAACAAAATATAAAACTTCTTAACACTAGCTAGAGAAGGAGGTAAAACAGTGCAAAGAATAAAATGTAAAACATTGTATGAAGCATTTAACTTATACCATATGATCAATATTTTTGTTTGAATAAAACCCATAAGCTACAGAGCTTGTACACATTCAAAGCAGTACTATTATTTTTCAAGTGCCTTTTGTTAATCATATACACAATATAATTTTACATTTAAAAATAATAAAAGTCTACCAAAAATGTCATCATTACTTCATAATACAAATATTCCCACATATCCATCCCTCTCTACATCACTGCAACCAACTGTACCAGTTTCTAATTTTCTATATTTATTTTAATTTTCTTTCGATCAAACAAGAAAGTACATTAATTAAGATAGAATCCCATTGTTTGTATTCTAATTGTCAGGATTAAATTACTTATAACATCAACCATATCAAAATATATTTACAAAATACTATTGACAGCTTGCTGTTTGTACATTATATACAAGTTATCATGATGAAGGAAAAACTTTATTACAGTTCGTACCACGACTTTAATTCAACTGGGAAGAGAAATTACTGGTTTAAGTGCAAGTATAAATAATCTATCTATTTATATACATTGTATATAAAAAAAAACAAGAATGATATATGTTACTATAGGGCACCATGCCCGGCACACACTAACACTTTTCTATGTTCAATGAACCATGAAATCTAGGTCAAAACCCTAATTTGGAATATATATATTAATCATTACTCTTCATAATGAATATGTGAAGTGTCAAGTTGGTGTAAACACAAATTTCTTTTCACCAAAAAATTAAACCTGATAAGCACAGACAAGAAAACATAATGCCCCTCTACTATATCCTAAGAAAGGGCATATAAATGAAGAATTATACTTACTACACTAACACTTTCAATAGAATATTATATTTCTACTATCATGATTAAACAAAACCCTGAAATGAATAAATATCAATACAAGAAAAGAAAGACAACCCTTTGTACAGAGAATACTTCAACAAAAATGTACTGCCAAGTAAATATGATTTTAGGAATGAAAATATTGACTATTCAACACTTTTTCTTTCACACACTAAATGTATATTATAGGGATTTTCCAATATAATAACTTATCACGAGTGCAGATTCTCTTTCTCTTCGACTCTGAATCTTGTCATAGCTTCCAAGTTACAAGATCTTGCGTTTTCCACTTTCTTTGATTGTTTTTTCTGTACAATGTTGAGTGGTGAGTTCATGTCAATGTTTCTTGTAGACAATGGTGAACGAGTAATGTCTTTATTTATAGACGAGATATGTTTGTTAGAAAACAGCTGTTTAGGTTGTGGTGCTCTTGTCTTCTTTGGCAGAATAGTTACATCTTTATCTGGAAAAAAAGAGAAAAATAACTGTGCTTTTAAAAAACAAACCAATACACTTTGCTTATAAATGCACCTCTGTTTTAAATATTTCTTTTAGAAAAAAACCAACAAAAGATGTAGGAAGTAGTATCAGTGTAGTCAGTGGTTTAATTGACCAAACCGAGCTGTTCTGTTTGACCACCACGCCAAAATTATTAGCATCATGACCCTCAACCAAACAGTTTGTAATGACCTAACAAACAACAATCTTGTTTTTCTATCAAAGTCAATAACCATGATAACAGTATATTGATGACCAAACAAGGTTGTATAGCATGATAGTGTGCATGTAATATAAGAACTTCTAATGGTGGTTATAATGAACTTAAATGTGTGGTATATATCAATAAGACAGTAACCTAACAACACAAATTACATAAAAACATCTAGTATCTTGAGGGCAACATACAGTCTTCAACATTAGACAGATGTCTATACAATATATGTCAAGCTATAAATTGGCACAAGTCTACACCATTGTGAATAATTATATATGGTGAACCAACATCTAAAGTGGTGGCTGTGTGATAAGGTTTACAGTGGTGAATAAGTTAAACAGAATCATCTTTGTAGACTGTGATATAGGAATATTGTCTTCCCTGGACTACTCCCATCTGGCAATAAAACCCTTGCTACAGTGGGGCATCCTTTGGGAAAATAAATGAGGCTTTACTTGAAAGATCAGTGGCTGAGTTATAAGCTTTGCTTCATAACTGCTAAGGAACCATTCAATAAACTAATGATATTACCATGATAAAAACGTTTACTAGCATCTACAGCTAACTGTTTGTCTTCTTTAATGGTTAATTTCTGAAACTGAGGTATATTTTCAGTGTTGTGTTCCAATAATAGCTGTTGTTGGTCATTAGCTTGATCTTCCATTTCAGCCATGGCATCTGCGAATGCTTCTTCAACCATTTGGTCATGCATCAGATTTTTCTCTTGTATATCATCAAATTTCCCTGTAAAGATTTTAAAAAGTTATTTTTTAATTCAATCAAATGGTTAACCTTAGATACAAATACTCACTATATATTTATATAATTCATTTATAACAATTTTCCCATTTAAACCAAACTTGTGAACCTACATAGACATGATCATGAAAGGCAAAGTTGAGCATTGCTAACATCAGTCAATAACTTTGAAAGAAAAGATGATCGCAAAATTATGAAAATTATTTACCTTGATGAATATCATACTGCCAACAAAAATATATATGTGTTTCAATCAATGCCTATATAGTCTTTGTGGTCGTTTATTTTTATAACATGCATCAGCAGAAAGAGTAATCTATAAATAACCAACTTTACATAAGTTTTTCTGAAAAATTGCTAACGTCAAAATTCTTGACGGGATTTTCAAATTTAAAAATCTGATATATTTAATTTATGATCATTCAGTTGATAAAAAGTACTGTAATTGATTTGTTGACATGTGAAGAAATAAACTATAACCCTTAAAAGACGTTAATTCAATAGGTTACAAATATGACCCATAAATTACGGTAGCCAAAGTCCTTCAAATTTGTTGTGAATGCAACATAATTTATCTAATAAATGGCAAATAATAACTCATATCCTTTTTAAATTTATTTTTTGTTGTTAAATACTTCACAAACAAATCCCCAAACAAGCCAGGGAGGTTTTGGAACTGTACATTAATTGATTCCAACCCATTTAGTTATTTGACGGACACAAGTGCACGTTTAAATGGAAGATGTCTTAATTAAGCATTGGAAGGTGATACAGTCAAATCTGTATTAAGCAGTAGTTCATAGGAAGCATTAAAAGTGACAGCTCAAGAGAGGTGACCTTTTTAAAGAGGTACTGAAAAATTCTGATTCTGACAATGCCCGTGGCTTAGCTCGCGGCAAATTGCTTCAGTGTTTTCAATAGGAAGAAGTACAATGTAGTGTTCTTGGACACATCGAAGCAGTGAAATGAAAAAAAATTAGCGGATTCTGGAGGTGTAAATTAGAAGTTAAAACTTTGGAAATATATTAATATTCTTGGAGAAATAAGTCAGTGATATTGTTTCCATGGAACCTAAAAGGAGAAGAACAGTTACACAAGGAATTTACTAACAGTCAGGGGACTTATTGAAATAAGTGATTTTTAAATCACTTATTTAAGTAGCAAATTCGAAGTTTTGTCACAAATTGTGATTTTGTAGTTTTACCAAAATTTTAAACACATAGGTTTAGATAATATCATTTCATTAGTAAAATTGACAAAAAATGAACTTTTTGCTTCTTTTAAGCAGCAAGGTTTATGCCTTTGATGCAATCATTTAGCTGCAAATTCTATTTTAGTTGAAAAAATGCTATAAAAATGGCTTTACATAATGAACTGATACTTTCTTAACAGATTATTCCCAGCAGTGGGAGTATTTTTCCTGTAAAATTCAAGGTTTCATCTTATAGATTATGTTATAAAATTCTACTGTTCACGATCAAAATTTCACTGTTCGGGGTGTTGAAATTAGTTGGGGTTATTAAAATAATGATACTTCAAGAAGTGATTTTTTGGAAGGAAATTGAGGTATGATACTTAATCAAGTGATTTTTATGTCATTATCCTAGATTTAGTACAAGGTCATCACCTGACATGACCCGGTCATCCTATCAACACAGATGTTGGTTCTGATAATTTTAGCAACATAATTAGTCCCTGGATCATTAGTATTCTCTATCTAAAGCTACAATAAAATTAATCACTTAGTCTAGTGATTAATGTGTACTACTTAAATAGGTGATTATTAAAGAAAGACAACTCTTACTTCCAACCTTTATGGACATAATGTTACTTGAATCAGTGATTTAGAAAATCACTCATTTAAGTAAGTCCCCTGACTCAGTGACTGACTAATGAGACTCCTATTGTGCCTTGTCAGTAGAATACAGGGTTTCAATTCTCATTTTGACTTGGATACTGAAGACAAATATTTTTAGTCATGATTATATTGGTAATTATAAATGAAAATGACCATTGTTAAAAGAGGAAATTAGGATTTCGTGTCAAGATTAGGTGACCACTTGAAACGAGTTAAATTATATAGAGAAAACGTTTGGGAGGGTCTGAAAGTGACAGTTAGAGTCAGGCGACCGCTGAAACAAGCTGATGTTTAAGGCAGGTTTGACTGTACTATAAATTGGTTTAACTACAATTATGGACAAAGGAAAATAATTGTCCAATTATGAAATTTCCTTTTAAAAGCATGTTAAGTAAGTGATTTCAAATTACTTATTTATTGAATAATCAAGTTTCCCTGACTGATAATGATTTTGTATTAATTTCTACCATGATAATCAGGAATTGGTGTCCTGAGAACTCCTGGTGTTGGAGATCTAGGGTCTAGCAAACCCTCTGGTGTTTTGTCTACTACAATTGGTGTCCTTGCTATTTCTGTTGTAGGAGATCGTGGGTCAAACTCCAGCACTCTGGTATGTGGTCCCTGACGTGGTGGTGTAAGGGCATCTTCATTTTGTTCTATCCTTGTGTGTGTACCACCCATTTCAAACTAAAATCAAATATCGAAAATAAATAAGCAATTAGGTCTATATCTACGAAATGATAAACATGATAAAGTGGATATATACTGAACATGATTAAAAAAAAACAATGTTAACAAACAGTACAAAATGTAGATAGTCATTTCGTACCCCAAATTACCATTTTGTATCAATATTCCATAAGGTTTGAAATGGCATACATTTAAATATTCCGTGAGGTACATTGTATGAATGGTTAAGGTACAAAATGGTCAGGGTACGAAATGGTTAGAGTACAAATTACAATAATTCTAACCAACTTGTTCCTGTTGTTTTTTTTATATTTTTATAGACGTCTTTCAAATTCATGCCCTTTGCCATAAATTTCCTACGTCACAATGTTTATGTTATTACGTCCAAGAAGAACCGAATACTTGATGACCGTCTTTTGAGTGATTGTCCTCATGTCAACCGGTGTAACTCATTCATTAAAAAACAAACTCGAGATTGGTGCATTTGAAAATAATATTTAGGTTGATTTTATTTTCCTGATAACAAAGTCAATATTAATACCAATAATACCAATAAAAACTATATTTAAAGATCTAATAATAATGTTGAATTGGTAACCTTCCTTCCTGTGGTCAAGGTCAATAAATAATTGTTAATTTCTAAGTCATTTGGTCGCTTTCGAGATGTTTAGGCAATGAACTAGTGCGACCAGTTTGACCTTGTTTGTTCGTCCTTTCTACATTTATTTTCTTAATGTCAGTTATTTCAAAGGAATGAGTCAAGTTGAGTGTTTGATCTCAGCATTATTTCATAACAGTGAATGTATATGCATAAGCTTGTGTTCAGCTTGGGACATGTAGCACTCTTTAAGACCATTATTACTTTTGAAAATGTGACCAATAACAACTTAAAAGTTAAAGATTGTGTACTTACAAAGAAGACTATTATAGTAAATAGATTTTTTTTTTTTAATAAAACATGATGACTAAAAGTGTAATAAAATTTTTTATAAAGTTATAACAGGTATATAAATGAAACATGTATATACAACAAAATCTCTTTTATTATGAAAGAAAAGTATAAAAGTATGGCCAAAAGGACTTTTATAATTTCGGTATCGGGTCCGTTCGCCCTGATTACATGTTCGCCCTGAGTTCGTTCGCCCTAGTTCGTTCGCCCATAGAGTCTGTTTGCCCTGGGTTTGTTGGCCCTACTTTTTATAATAACATGATAAATATTAATGATGTTATTAAGGTTTTATGAACTTATTCAGATATGTATATGTTAAATATGAAATAAAATACATGTTTCTGAAAAATCATGATAAAAACATAGAAATAATTAAGAATTAATGGCTTGTTTTGGAGCATTATTGGCTTCATTGGTACATATGTTTTTGTTTAGAATTACCTTTAATGACTGTTAATTGTAATGTTTTAAAATTGTTCAACTGTATAAAAAAATACATACAGATACATTGTAACTTGATTTTCAGTTGTTTTAATATATAAAAATATCTTGAATCCCTGTACACTTCAGTACAAATCAAAGAAAAATAATTATCTGTTAGCAGCATTACAACATAAATATTCGGCGAAATTTTCAACAAACTTTAACATACTTTATTTAAATATTTTACATTAAACAACAAGACAACAAAATAAAATAAAAAACAGGGCAAATGGACCCAGGGCGATTAGGTATTTGGGCGAACAGGTACTAGGGCGAACGTGAATCAGGGCGAAGGGACCCGGATTCATAATTTTCATGGCCAAAGTGGTACATGCCCGAAATGACCAAGGCTGAACTGGCTCCATGGCCGAAACGTCATTTCCCATTTGGTCTCTTGCGTGTCTGTTGCGGAGAGTTGTCTCATTGCCATTGGCAAAAAACATGTTTTTGACAAACGCTGAAACGGACAAAAACGGCTGTGTTTAACACATCAAAAAACACAGACAAAACCTGTATAGTTGGAAAAGTTTGAAGATCTAGCATTCACAATAGTAGTCTTTAGAAATGATAGATATATAAAGTAAGATGCTTAAAAAATTAAATGCATTTTATGTTTCAGAACACAATTTAGAAAGATAATATCATTTTTGGATTTCGGTGGGTTTTTTTTCCCGTTCCTGCAGTAAGTGTAAGAAAAACTTAAGTTTGCTAGATGTTTACGTCGAGTTTTAAACCTTTAAAGTGTTGTTGCAAAACGCAGAGAACTCTTTCCGTTGCAATTATTACAAGTCTGTTTACCTGCTTTTTAAAGTTCCCGCTCTGTCCAATCAAAGAACACGATAACAGACTTTAGGAAAAAAATAAAACCTACGTTAAACGTCCTCCGATTGGATAATAAGAATTAGATCGCTTCTACGTTTTTGAGAACGTATTTAGTTTATTATAAATTCTAGATTCAAGTTGACGCTGCACTAATAAAAATCAGCAATTTTCCAGAAGGATTCTTGTAAACGCCGGTTGCATCTTTTTATCACATTTATACATGTTATAGGTATGATTATGCAAATTCACGACCCAGTGTTTAAAACTGACACTATACAGTAAAATCACACGTGCACAGAAACCAAAATACATTCGAGTACGAACTATTACCATATTCACAATATAAAGATTGATGAATCATCATGATAAATAAATATTTATATGCTTTCATGTCGATCCAGCCCAAGTCGATCCGGCCCCAACTAAAAAAATATTTACAAGGGATAAAAGTATGTATATATTTTACATGCAAAGATGCACATGTTTTTAATTGCACCTGTATATATCCCGTAATTACGGTACTCCGGTCACTTAAGGACAATTTTTTATTTTATTTTTCTGTAGACTTAGCTTTGTTTTTTTATTACCTTGTATTGTCAAGCTTGGTTACTCATAATTGTTTCTCAGTCACTGAATGTACGATGTTATTACGAACTGAAGCAGCTACCCCCATTTGTTTACCTTCAAATTCTAATGGCGTCAAAACCACGTGACACATTGGATCGTCCAGACGAATCAAATTGCTCTATTGTCAATAAGGTGATTTTTTAGTCTAAGGCAATTATATTGTTTGTTTGTATGATATTGCTTTGAAATTGTTTGCAATGAATTGGGGGTTTATTTAACAGGAAACCTCATTATTTACCATGAAATTTGACATCAATGGAATTTTTTTATGAATTTTCTCTTATGCCAGTTATGGTCAGAATATTGATCTCTTTGTATTGAACCAAAAGATTTTTTTTATTAAATATATAAAGTACTGAGATTGGAAAGCATGTTGATATACCAGTATAGACCAAAATTCTTTCCATAAAAAAATGTATATTACACATATTAATTATAGAAACAAACAAATTAGCATCTATAATAATCAACACTTTCCTAATGTACATGTACACTATGCAAGTTGGCACCTCTTCTCGCATACTACATGTACATGTACCTATGGAACTTTTTTAGAAGAAAGTATTTCTCAAATGTACCTAATGCTATCACAGAGTGCCCACTTTGTGAAGATCAAACTCACACTATTACATGTCTATTCTGACATAAACTATGTACATACACATCATTCACCCATTATTTTCCATTATTTTGTTCTCATTGTTGCAATTCTGGCTTACAGAAATCAACAATTTTCAAAAATTCTTACTCTAATTTATTTATGTTGTCTTTCCGTTCCTGTTTACCTGGCCTTTTACTTAATCTATCTTGCATGTAATTTTTTTTGGTCTAATTTCATGAATAACAAACTTTCTTAGACTTACCATGGGTACTCTACTTTAACATGTTTAAGCTCCTTCGTCTTCTTAATAATAAATGTTAATAAAACAATACTCATAAAAAGAGAACTTGGTGCAGAAATATCAAGTAGTGTTACCCATAACATCAATAGTAGGTACTAAACAAGAAAAGAATTTTATTAGTATATGTAGCAGGATCAGTTCTGTTGTGGATTCAAAAGAAAAGTGCATTAAAGAGCTAATGATAAGGTATATGTAAGTATGTTAATCCTACACATTTTCATGCTTTCTTATTTTAAAGAATTAGATGACTTGAATTAATAGCAAAAATTAGACAATACATACTATTTATTTAGAAGTATATAGGGATACAAAAAATTTTAATGTTTCAAATCAAATATATAAATTTCTGAATATGAATAAAAGTATTCTATAAACAAATTAAAATAGTAAAATCTATCAAGTTTATCAAATTGTGTAACTTTCTGCCATTACATGAAATATTTATTAACAATTATGAAATTTGGAGTTAAACAAGGGAGATAACACTACATACATGTAGATCTACATACTTATTCATTTCTATTGCCTTGATATATCACTCTAATTGGGTCAACTCAACTTATTTTTTTGAATTAAATTTAAATAAAAAAAGAGTATAAAACAGTTTTTTTTCAATTAATATAAGAAAAAACATTAAATAGTTTTTTTTAACCTACTCCATACTTCCTGAACAAAAATATGGCATGTACATGTCCACTGACAGTCAGGGGTACTACTTGTACAAGTAATTTTTATTTACCTGAAGAAGTAATATTAATATACTTATATAAGTAAATTTGTAGGATACTTATACAAGTGTATTTTTGTTGAGCCTGCGACTTTTGTCGCAGAAAGCTCGACATAGGGATAGTGATGCGGCGGCGCCGTTAGCTTACTTCTTAAAAGCTTTATATTTTAGATGGTGGAAGGTCTAGATGCTTCATACTTTGTAAATGGATGCCTCATGTTACGAAGTTTCCGTCAGTCACATGTCTAATGTCCTTGACCTCATTTTCATGGTTCAGTGACTACTTGAAAAAAAAGTTAACATTTTTTGTAATGTTAAATTCTCTCTTATTATAAGTAATAGGATAACTATATTTGGTATGTGGGTACCTTGCAAGGTTCTCATGCCGGTCAGACAGTTTTCACTTGACCTCGACCTCATTTCATGGATCAGTGAACAAGGTTAAGTTTTGGTGGTCAAGTCCATATCTCGGATACTATAAGCAATAGGTCTAGTATATTCGGTGTATGGAAGGACTGTAAGGTGTACATGTCCAACTGGCAGGTGTCATCTGACCTTGACCTCATTTTCATGGTTCAGTGGTTATAGTTAAGTTTTTGTGTTTTGGTCTGTTTTTCTTATACTGTATGCAATAGGTCTACTATATTTGGTGTATGGAATGATTGTAAGGTGTACATGTCTAGCTGGCAGGTGTCATCTGACCTTGACCTCATTTTCATGGTTCAGTGGTCAAAGTTAAGTTTTTGAGTTTTGGTCTTTTTTTCTAATACTATATGCAATAGTTCAACTATATTTGGTGTATGGAAATATTTTATGATATATTTGTCAGTCACGCAGGTTTTTTTTTACCTTGACCTCATTTTCAAGGTCCATTGCTCAGTGTTAAGTCTTTGTGTTTTGGTCTGTTTTTCTTAAACTATAAGCAATAGGTCAACTATATTTGTTGTATGGAAGAATTGTTAGCTGTACTTGCTTGCCTAGCATGGTTCATCTGACCTTGACCTCATTTTCATGGTTCATTGGTCAATGTTTAGTTTACTTGGTTAATGTTAAGTTTATGTGACAGTTGTAATAAAGCTTTATATTTAGGACTATCAACATAATATCAATGATTAGTAAAGAAGGCGAGACATTTCAGCGTATGCACTCTTGTATTACTTGTATAGGTAAAAAAAAATGGCTTAGTTATGTCCCTTAGACATTCAGATTTTTTTACTTATATAAGTGAAAAAGTCATCCTATCTTCTTTTCTTGAATTCTTAGGACTTCTTTGCTCTAATAGAATTTTAAATTGTCTGTCCTTTGCAGATGTCTTAACTAATCATTTAACATGTTTAAGTGTAATTTCATGGACAATGAAAATCTCATTTCAATTTTGTCTGTTATCTTCAGAACACTGCTCATTTACAAGCCCCAAGGAGCAATTTTTGAAGGCCTTGTGCAAATACTTAAGATCTTTGCGCAATCAGTTTCTTTGTTGAATTAATGAGATGAAACATTGAACTTTAATCAAAAATTATGAGCTAACCTGCCTGGGAAAAATCATTAAAGGCATGTTTTTACATCTCAAAACTTGAGAATTTTTGTGGGATTGTAAAAAAAATTTACTTATACAAGTGAATTTTTGAGAAAATTAAGGGGAGATTATTCAAACATTATAACTAACTTATATAAGTATATATTTTTTTACTTCTTCAAGTAAATAAAGATTTCTTGTACAAGTAGTACCCCTGACTGACTGACAAATTGTGTTCATCATTTGTTTCCCAAAGATGTCCTTTCATTTTGGATGCTTTTTCGCGGGAAAATCGCTTAAAGACGTAAGGTGCTTGTCATTTTGAAAAATACGATTTGCTTGGCCTGTTTGGTCTGCCATTAAGCATGATGACGCGTGATGGAATGTAAACAAAGCAATGGAGGCCGGAAGAGGGGTTTTCTGAAGTTCTGAAATGTTTTTAGGCATTCGGAAGTCAGGGTTGAAATGGCCATTAGAAAATCTGCATTTTTGTACAATACTTAAGAATAATAATGAAAACATATCTTTAGAAATATCATTTTATTTAGAAGTGTAGAAAAAACGTATTCTGCACTAATTTTATACGCTGGTTATAGCGTAGTGACGTCAATGTGGAGTTTCCCGTGTGATAACTACAATAACAAAGTCTGAACGAACCGACATTATGACCGATTATAGACTACGATAGGATATATTAAATTGCACCCATCATTGTTTATTAAATTCACAAAAATTTCATGTGCTAACTCCAAAATGTGGCAGAATAGTCAACCAGTTGACGGTGGCCACTTACCGGAAGAAGAAGAAGATAGACAATAAACAAATTGTGCCTTTGACGGATATTCATTAAACAGTTAAAGGAGACATTATATTAAGATTTCATCTAAATATATAATTTTTTTAATGTAAATTGTTAATATTAAATTCATTTTATCACCTGTTTCCTAATCTGTATGTTACCTGTTGTCATTGATCATCAATACTGTTTCCTAATAAATATACCTCTGATCAGAGATAATTATTCATTATTTTATTATTGGGTCAGATTGACTTGGGGCCTGAACATCATGATACTGAAAATAATATACGAAGCAAAACATCTAGCACTTCTCTATTTTCAAATTAAATGAATTACTTGATAAATCTGCCAAATTTAACATGTTATACTGACCACTTCACTTTAGAAAAAAAAAATTCTGAGC